TTATTTCTTTAAGCTTCAGTATTAACATTTCTTCTAAATGTGGCAACAAAATGAGGAATCAGAGCATACCCAGTCTTTGCATGTTTATAATAGCACTATGAGCAAGTGCTGCAGGGAAGAGGTACAGTAGAAGGGCATGAATTTCTGCTGAAATAAAGGAATATTTCAACAACATCTGCTGAAACATGTCAGAATTACTTAACTTTATTAAACTGTTAGTCACTGTGATTAATTGTGAGTCATCTCAATCAGATTAGCATGAAAGGTAGCTAAGGTTTCCATTGCAATGTATAGGATTCCCAATACACAGCATTACTGTCTCAGGCCACTATCACAGGAACCAATGTTTGGATCAGTATTTGATGAAAAGTCCTAAGGAAACAGGCAGACCACAGAAGACTGCATCACTTGTGCAACAAACCATGATCATCTCTGCTCCATGAATATAGCTTACAGCATACAAAGTAGGAAATAACAGTAGGACTGTTTTCCCATCTGAATTCAACTTACTGCTTTTCTATAAGCAAGACCAGGAAATAAAGCTACAGCACAAATGAGCACTTTATAATTTCATGTGTAATTTACTTCTAGTAGCACTTCTTTAGGGCAAATTCTTCAAGTAATAGTTCTGCATCCACTGTAGAGTCAATCTCATATTTCATGCAAGAGTCATATCCCACTACTCTTCAGCAGCATCCTCCAGGAGCATAACCCCTGCTGCCTCCAATTACATTGGTGACTCAGTCTCAAGTGGGTTCTGTAGCTGTAAAATTTCTCTTTATTAAATTATGGCAGTAAAAGTTTGCAGCTGGACAGGACCACCAAGGCAAAATACTGTGTGCTCATTACCCACAGACTGAAATGAAGAGTAAAAGCCTTTGTAAGTCTCCTTAACCCAACTTCCTCTATCGGGTGCGTAGGGAAATCTGTTCTCCTGCCTAAGGTTTGTGAATTTTCTAATTTTGCCAGGTCAGGTTTGTCAGAGACACACAGGAAATTCTTATGGCTCTCATTAAATGGGCTAGAACCATCCAGGAATTTTTGAGATTTTTGTCTCTTTCTTTATGTTTTGTTTTTTTCTGTTTGGTTGGGTTTTTTTGAGGGGGGAGTGCTTCTAAAAGCCATAAACAGCTGTAATTAAACATGTTCCTATGAACTCCATGTTGATGCCTTAAAAAAAATTTATTTTCAGTACAATTTTTCCCTGTGTTCAAGAGAAATGTACACATCCAATCAGTCTTCAATTCATTGACTCAGGTAGAACAAGAAGTGCAAATCCCTACTTTGTCAAATGAGCTCCCTCAAGAATATTATTTCTATAAAGGTATTAGATTAACTTCAGGAAAAGGGAATTTGGATATTGAAAAACATTAAATTAAAGCAAGCTAAAAACATCATCATGCCACTACATAAATCCATAGTTTGCTATGTATTGAATGATCTGTGCATGTTTGTACTGGTTTGGGAAAAGGTACAGACCAAACCTGAGCAAAGGCATGAAGCAGCTTTCACACAAACAATTATTGAACAGGCTAAGACTATTCCTCCTGGAAAGGAATATGGTGGAACACCATCAACAGAAACAAGATTATAAACAGGGGATAACAGTCATCGTTATGTAATGAATGGATGCAATAATTTGGAATATGAACTCAAATTAGCAGTAAGATTTAAAATGAAGCCTCATGGTTTCTTCTGGCAAACATTTCTACAGTTGAACTATTCTTTATTCTGAGAATTAACATATGCTTAAAAAGTATTGAAGGAATTCACAGAGAAGAAATGCATTAAAGACTACTAAATACAAAACCATACTCCCAGCACAATAATATGAAGCCTGAACCTTAAGGAAGTTTTGTACTATAAAGTTATTTTATAATTTATTAGTTTTTCCAAAAAGTAAAATCCTGTTTCAGAAATAAGAGGTTGTTTCTCACCATGTTTTACTAGCTGCTATTGCTGCCTAGTTCAGCTTAGTTTCCTTTTAATCTGTAAATTCTACCAAAAAGTAAATAGCATCAGAATGCTTTTTTTTTTTTTTTCAGAAAAGATCAAGCCACCTCCCTGCCAATTCAATTTCTTTCTTCTACCTTTGAAACGTTCAGGTTTTTCTACCAGCTGACATTTTTCCATGCTGCAGCACCGTCATGTGATAAATTCAATCAAGGGCACATAACAGCCACTTCAAAGGCCAACACCCAAGGCAGCTGAAGTAGCTTAAAGTTAAATCAACAAAAGAATACATGGTGCAAAGGTCACTGTCTCTAGAATGTAAAAGGAACTTTATGCACAGTCCAGAAGACATGAGATTTTGTCTTTTACTACTTCAACCTGCACCTTTTGCAATATATTGTTAATATCATAATTGAATTAACACATCAAATCTACAGAACACTTCTGTCTAGCCAAGGTCTGTCCCTGTATAATTTTTCACAATCATGGTTGTATCATTATGTAGACAGAGCATTAATCACATTCCACAGTGACACTGCAATGTACATGAAATATCTGTCTGGACTTGAATCAAAGTACTACCTTGCTGACAGCAGGAAGCCTCTGGTGAAGTATAGCAAAGTGTACCTTTGGAAGGACCACTAAAGTATAAGGTTCATATTACTGCTAGCTGATGTCTTTTTCAGAGCATATGACATGACATTTTTTAGTAAAGCAGCATACAGACAGACTAATTAATGACATTTCCTCATGCTTTTCAACTACCCTTTCTAGAAACTCAGTTTGTCTTAAATTGGTAAAGTCTATACTTGGAAACTTAGAGTTCTTCATCCTTGAAGAGCAATCATACACCTTCTTACATAAGCACTAAACACCTATAAAAGCTCAGCTGAAAGCTATTGTCTATATTGCTGATGAAAGATGAAGGAAGTATCCTTCATGGTTGAGGTAACATTATACAGACATGTATCTTTACTCTATTCTAACAATTATGTACTTGACCTCTTAATTTTGCACATTTGAGCATTTAGTAGTAAACTCATGTCTGCTTTCCCTGAACTGTAATAGGTGCCTCCTCCAGAGGGTTCATGAACAAGCAAAGGACTAGAATGGGTGAAAGGGTAAGAGGCAGCAGCTTATAGAACCAGAATAAATGCTGGTCAGGCTACAACAGTGCTTTATTCAAGCTGTCTGGGATGCAGCATAGGAATAACAGTTTACTTGAAAGGGACAGCATAGAAAGTTTTCATATACAGGCAACAGTCATCAAAAACAGCTTTCAGCAGTCTAAGGAACTGTTCAATATTATAAAGCATCTATATGAATTCTGTCCCCTCCTGAAATATCACCACTGTACTTACTTCCACAAAGACAACCTATATTTTATTTTTTAAACGAGGCAAAGTATAATCAATAAACAGAAGAACTAAGAAACATCATGTATATATAAAATGTCTGTATTTTCACTAATACTTTTTGTTTATGAAAAGCTATTTACAGTTACAGTTCACAGCTAAATAGCTAAACATTTAAAGTATTTAATTGAATATGCTTTATATCCAAATAAAAATATAGGCAAGTCTCTGTTCTGAACTCATTGAAGTCATACATATTTACCAGTTGCTGGCAAGAATTCCCTAGTTCAATGCACATTTAAGTCATATTTAAAAAATCTTACTCTGAAAAGCAAAGCAACTTGCAACTTCCACTAACTCAATAATCACAAGATGTCAAAACATAGTTGAACAGGATTTTTTTTTTTTATTTCAAGAAAAGTATCAGCAGTAAGTTCAATGGCTTTATATACATACATCTCAGATGAGATCAAAAAAAAGTAAGAAAAATGTCAGAGTACAGAAATTGGCATTGCATTTTCCCTTCCATAATTCAAAAGGCAATACTCTGTGTAGAGCACAGGATTTGCCACTGTATCTGACTGTACCTCAGCTGTACTTCATGTGCCTTACTTTGCAAGCATTCTATCTAATTAAAAATGCCTAAATACTACACTGCTTCTTAGCACATTTTCTTTGAATGAAGTATGGTAATAAGGAAGTAAATAGAAAATCTCACATGAGAACTGACACACCATTTGTGAAAAGTCTGGTCCTCATTATGTTAATGGCTGGCAAGCGTTCAGGTCCATGAGAGTAATCACTCAGTTCCTTAAGATCAAATGCTACCAAGGTTCTTAAAATGGCTGGGGATTTGAGACATATTCCAAAATAAATTCTCACTAAAGGAGATATTATTTTGAATTGATTATTTCACATTAGCTGAAGGTATGAGCTCATGAAGATTAAAATCTGAGTATATTTCAAACTTGGGAGTTATTGAGTTGTTAGCCATACATCATGTGCAAGCATTCAAATTTCTATACCACTGCAGTATAAACCTTTGGCTAAAGGAAGCCAGCTGGAAAGTGCCAACATCCCAACTGCTCACAAAAAGCTGCTAGAGTTTATGGAAGTTAAAACTTACTTAACAAGGTAAGGGACAAATGGAAGGTTTCTAAACAGCACAAATCTATTACACTGCCAAGACTTCAAGTACAATGCACTTTAAAGTGAATAACAAAGATTGTTGACAAAGCCCCACAGAAACAGTAAGAGCTTTGGCAGGCAATGACACTGTTATGGTAGAGAGAGTATGATGAATCTAAGTGCTCAACAAATTAAATTATTTCTAGTACTTTCAGGTATTGCTTTTGAGTACAAAGGATGCAGTCTTTCTTTAGGACGATTTTATTTACTTCAAGATTGCCTCAACTGAAAATTGCTTTTTTCTTTGTTGAAAGGCTCATTATTACTCAAAGACTGTACTATACTAGGTACTAGAGTAAACATGGAAGAAATTATTCTATTTCTGTTCATTTTAGAGGCAACTTAGCAATTTCTCTAGAAGAAATCTGACATATCTTCATTTTAACCTTTGCTGGTTGTGGAAAGGAAAAATATACAGGAAGCCTAGGAAAAATCTTCAAAGAAATGAACAGAAAGAATAACTTCCGCTAATTTATCTAAAAGAATGAAAGAAAATATTGGTACCTTTGATGAGACTATTCTATTATCTGGAAATCTCTGTGGAATGTACGCTTCAGCGCCTGGAGGTGGTTCACGATGCCCAACATAAATAGTCCGACTGTCCACCCAATTCTCTTCTCCAGCACACTACAGGGGAAAAAAATACAGTTACTGTGTTAGTTTACTCTGTATTTCTGCAGTAACGTTAAGTCACAGTTTCAATTAATTAATCACATGCCTGACCATCAACACATACACAGCCACCAGCACATGACCCCTCACACTTGTCTGTATCATCTCAAGATCACCAAAACACCTAAAGCCAAGTCAAATGTCAAAACCCTGCCTTAACCTCACTTCACTTTCCCAAAATGCAATGAGAGAGCATCCATGAAAATCACTATTGTGACGTTTTTGTTTATAACTGAAAAAAGGGCAAACAGTTTAAGATTCTCAGTAAAATTAGGTATTTAGTATTTCTATGTTTGTTTCTCTTTTTACCACTAACAAAAATCTGTGCTAGTTAAAATAATGTATGACAAACACTTCTCATCTTTGAGACCAGCAAGCCATAACTTAGAATTTCATTTGCAGCCAAGTGAAACTCTGTCCTTCTGAAATACTAGTAGCAATCATTTCTCCACACATCAACAAGCTTAGAGACTCCTAGGTTGCCAGGAAAGACCTCATCTTGTCAACTCAGAGCATTTCCCTTTCACAGACAGCTGTAGAAAAAAAAAGTAGGCGCGTCAAATGTTCACATTTGCATCATCAAACTCTACCACACCTATAGCTCTCCCAAAATTAGTATTTCTGTGTTCTATTAACTGTAAAAAAAAAAGTAAAAATCACTGTAGAACCAAAATAAGCATTTTTTTAAATTTAGAAGTCAATTTTTTTTTTGGGGGGGGGGGGGGCATGAATTATAAAATGACCATCCCTTATTCACAATCTAATTCACACCTACCTTATGAAAAACATTTTTGAAGCACAGAACACATTCCTAACACTTGAGAAGCCCAAGCATCAGCAACTTTAACATGATCATATGGTCAAACCTGGAGTAATTTAAATATGCTGTAATTTAAACTCAAAACCTCTGGTTTATGTTGTACCGATGCATTTACACATACTTTCATTAATTATGTTAGAAGGAAGCCTCTTTTCTGCATCTTCAACAGCTACATTTAATTAGTACATCAAATATGTCCTGGGCACCAGTGTCTGCCTGTATAGGTGAACTGTCAGACTGACACTGAGCAAACTAACTCCAAACAAAGTGTGACTTTGGTCATTTACACAGCCAAAGCATCATTCCCCAAAGCTGCTGGATGTACCTGTGCAGTTCTTGACAGAATTTAATCATACAGACATAGTACCTTCTTTTCTAGCCAGTCTTAATGTCAACAGTCATAGATCCATTTACTCTACTAGTACACACTTGGCTAGTAAGCCTAAAATGAAATCTAGTTCTCAAACTTAAAAAACATTCACCCTAACATTTTCTTTATCAATTCAAGTCTATGATTTTTCCACTACCCTTAAGTGCATCACGGCTGAAGATCACTTTCTACATAATTTATTGGGAATAGATGTATAAAATCTTGCAATACTCTGCAGATTTAGAGCAGTTAAGCTAATAAAACAATTATCTCTGACGTGCGTGACTTGATGTTGGAGGGAACATCAAAAATATAAAAAGAAAACCTATTGGACTCAGACTATTAACCACAAAATAGCTGAGTAGAAGTCATCAAGTAAAAGGTAAAGTGAAGCAGAAGGATTAAAGAAAAGCAGCTTCTGCCATATCAGAAGTAGATACTAGAAGCAGACACTACGGACCCAAAATCATTACTTGATTCTTACACGTGACAGACAAATGAAGGCATTATGTTCAGAAGGATAGGACCAAAGGACAAAATTGCAACACTAGGCATAAAACTAAAACCAAAAGTAAACCCCATGTTTTTCTTATGTGTTCAACTCTCAATAAATTGAGTCACTTGATACATTATATGACACTGTTCACAAAGGAAGTACAAATGACAGCCCCTCTTAAGACACGCCAACAGCTCACTGAAGGTTTATGCTAAGCCACGTAACTGCCCCTGGCTCAGTGGGAGTGCACACACGGAATTTTTCCCATGCCACATCTAGCACAGTCTTGAAACTGAGACGTGGGATGGTATAAAAATTACATTGATTTTCCAGTCAAACAACTTCTCCCTTACCACCCAGTGGACTTGTCAAAAAGTCAAGTGTCATTCAGCCAGCCCACTTTTTAAGGCCAAGTAACATTCTTTGAGCAAGCCAAAACATTTTGGAAGTTAGTAAAGCATGATGATGTTTCCATAATTCACCTTACTTCTATGGTAATAACAAAACATGGTATCTTTTACCATTTTGCCATTAATACTTTATCTTCTCAGTGCACTAAATGTACAATGCACATTATCTACCGACACTTGTGCCACTTATTACCCCTAGGAATGCAAGGGAGTGAGAGATATTCCTGTATAATACATCAAATTGTACAACACTTTTTAGTTTTTCATTAGGAAGGGCATTCCAGACATGCAACACAAACATTACTCCTGATAAGTGAAGTGCCTAAGTTCAGAAATGATAAAGGGCTAATGGGAATGCCACCTAACCTTTGAAAGCCAAGAAATCCCTCAGCTTCCACTTTCCTCTACAGAGGCCTAGGTCAACAATTTATCTCACAATTATTATGAGCCAGTCCAAGACAGCATGACAAGGCTCTTAGCTCAAAAAAGCACTTTTTTAAGTTTCCCTGTATAGATTGAGTCTTTATCATGACTCAATTAAAACAGGCCTCTGAAATTACCTATGAACCTGGGAAGACAGAGCTCTAAAGAGCACCCTCCTGCCACTACTGCCAGTATTTGCAGGTCTGAGAGCCCTGTACTGTGTCATGTGTACATGTGCAATGTACTGTGTCAACACTATGTAAACCAACCACCCTGGAATTTGTATCCTTAAAGCAAGGTATTACTTTAAGCATCGATACAAAATGAAGACAATCTCTTCCATTAGCTTAATTTCATCTGGTTTTATCACAAATTGTTAAATTTACCACAAATGTATAAAACAGTATCTAACTTAACTATGTGATAACACAGAACATTATTTATTTTTCACTATATTAATAGGTGCAGAAAATAAATGCACTTTAGCAACCTAATTCAACAACTTCAAACCTCCAAACCACTCACAGTCCAAGCACAAATAACTAAGCATGGAAGAAGGCTCTCTTTGCCAGTGAGGTAGAACTGCAGTGCACAAAGCCACGTGCACTGTTCAGTGTGGCAACAAGGCAACTCACTTATGTGAAGCAGATAAAGATACTTCTAGTAAAACAGCACTGTAAGTCAGGACATGAGCCACGTAAATCAAACTACAGCAACTGAATGTCTGGTAATGCCAACCTCCAAAGCCAAACACCCTCATCTGACAGTTCTTTTAGTGTTCTGGTATCACAGCTTAAAGAATGACACCAGAGTCACTAAAAAAAGCAGTCTGATGCCACTGCCAGAACAATGAACTATATTCACTTTTTTTTTTTAAGTTCCATTGCTTAAGCCCATTAAAAATATGTCCAAGAAACCATAAATATACCTTAGCATTATCTGCTCCTATTTATAGTGTAAAGCTCAATGTACGGAGCCATAGTTTTATTAGCACATCAATGAAATGTTACATAGTTTTTACTCTTTCAAGCAGTGTCAGCAACCATGAAAGCAAAGACCAGCAAAAGACAAAGGCACAGAGAGACAGTTAACAGGATGTTATCTTAAGAGTTTAAGTATTTCTGCAGCTCATTTTTTTTCTGATTTAAAAAAAATCAAACAGAAAGCAGCTTGAGAGTCACCTACATACTACTCTGGTAATTTTTATCTAGATTTAATTTAAACAAATGTACTGCCTAAAAAGACAAGGGGCTTGATACTCAACAAGCTTGATACTTACTAGTTTTTACAGCAAAAGGATGATAGGAAGATGCTAGTGGTAGTTTCTGGAAAAGTAACTGACTTTGAAAGCTTCCAATTCTTTCCATGGATTTTTTGTAAAAAGATTTTAACGTATGATTTTGAAATCAGTGGAAACACTGAATGACATTTCCTGACTCTCCACCTGAACTAATAACTTGGGCATAATTACCAGCAACAATCTTCAGTTCAGTATTGTATTTTCTCTCCAAATAACATAAATACAAACACTACTAAAATAAATTAATATGCAGTAAGTACAGGTGAAAACTCTATCAACCTGCCCTGGCCAGGCTCTAAGTACATTTTGTTGAACAGTATTCTTCTCTTATATTTTTTTCTAAATGCTTTTTGATTAAAAGGGATAGTGCACTCTAACCACACATTTGACAGCAACAAATTCTCAGCATCAGCTATAGCCTTGTTCACCCAAGTTGTTACTCCATTCCTCCACACAGAAGTACTTTATATAGACAGAGGCACGCTTTCCTAACAGCCTGGTGTTTTACTGAATAACGAATATTTGATGTCAATTAAGCAATTAGCACCACTGTTAAAACTGTACACCAAACACACAGCTGCTCAACCACTTTGGAGTTTTAGGATAACAGATACTGAAAGCCATTATCACTCACAGTTTACAGGAAGAATTAATAGTGCACAGTGTGAAAAAACATTCACGCGTTGCAACAGCTTTGCACTAAAGGCTCTCAGTTTTCAATTTTTCATTCAGTGAAGAGAAAAAACTTCAATATCTCAAAGCTGTAATTCATTAAAGTAAGGAGAAAAAAGAAGTTTTCTTTTCTAGTAACTGTAAGGAAACTATCCTTACCATGCACTATTTACCAAACCACGATATCATATAATCTCATCTTTCTCTTCATTTGTCTAATGTACTGAGTACCAGCTCTTTTACACTTGACACCATTCTGAAGGAATAGGTACAGCCATCTCCCTTTGCAAACAATAGCACAGAGTGCAGAGTTTTACCTCATTTTCCAAATCCAGTCCTTTTAAGGGTAGCTTGATCTACAGATAACAAAAACCCATCTAAAGAAATAATAATTTTTAAATAATCTACATTTCCAAATATTGCTAACCAGTAAAATAGATTAAGCTTTAAAATAGTCCACTTTT